CTCAATGAGTTGATGGTCTAATAACTTATGTAGCCAGTCTGGTCTTGGTGCAACATAGATAAGCTGCAATCGTTAGTTGAGTAAAAGATTTCACAGATCTAAAATAATGGTTCTAGACAGTTGGCTAACTTGTTTGCTAGGTTTATGTGCTGGTGGGCTGTCTTGCAACTTCATGGATGTGATGCAGTTTGGTAGCTAGCAGACCCATATAGCGTGGAGTGGGCAGTTATAAGGCCATCGATGTTGCCTCTAAACCATGGTACTGTAGGCATTCAGTGCCTGGTTTCTAAGTTGCTAAGTTTTGTGGATGTTTAAAATTTGCTAGCTCTAATCAGGAATATACATCACTTGACGGGCATTTGCTGTTCTTTTTTGAGTTGTAAGTAGTTGGAAGGGTGTTTATGCCAATAGACAAAGTAATTATTTTAATGTGTATTTGTGTTTGTTGAATTAGTAAAATGAAGATTATAACCAGGCTTGGCAGAACAGTAAGGTAGCTCTTCAGAACTGAATAAAATTAATTGATTTTCACTGAGGCCTACAGTGGTCAAGGGTTAGGGTTAGACGCAGACACTAACAGACTTATGTCAGATAAAACCCCAAATTTGTTTATTAGTCCAAATGTGCTTTCAGCAACAGTTCTTTCAGAGAGTTGTGTGTTTGATTAACTGTCAAGTGATGTTAAATACAGGTCACCATGCAAGTAACAGGTCGATCAAAACCAAATTGTTTAAAAGCAGTTGGAAAAAAGCCAGTTTTTAACAAGCATATCCCCGGGACAAAGGTGGAGAAACACTGTTCCTTTGCTACCCAGATACCTACTATCCAGATTCAATATGTATGGATTTTAGTTTACATTGTTAGTTGCTATTTCAGTCGTCACTTTGAGTAACAGCAACACTCTGATTTCCTCACTAGACAACATTGATTCAGTTTTCACAGATTAGAAAGAGACTATTTCTCTACATGGTGTTTTTCCTGATATTTGTGTCCACCTGTGTTCAGGAAAACTTTGTTTGCTTTTTGTTATGAGTGACCCTAAGTTTGCGGAGCTGTCAGGTGTCATATTACATTACTGTTGCTTAGCAGACAGCCTTATCCAGAGTGACTTGCGTAGGTTACAAGTGCCATTTCAATTTGATCCAGTCATACAGTTTCACTCTGAAGCGCAAAGTCTTTTGATTGGCTCAGACAAGTTGATTGACAGCGCACGGTAGCTCCACCCATCACCGGTAATAAACACCCTCTCGCTGTCTTCAGCAGGATGGCGCAGCAGACCCTGCGTTTCAGAGGCCCTGCCCCGCCTCCGAGCCCAGTGATGCGGGGCCCGCCCCCGCTGATGAGACCCCCGCCTCCCCCTTTCGGAATGATGAGGGGCCCCCCGCCTCCACCACGCCCACCCTTCGGACGGCCGCCCTTTGACCCCAGCATGCCACCCATACCTCCGCCCGGGGGCATGCCCCCTCCGCTGGGGCCCCCACACCTGCAGGTACGGGAGAGACGTTCACTGACGTCACCTTTCGGCTGTCTGTGGTGTGTGTGTGTGTGTGTGTGTGTGTGTGCGTGTTACTTTAAATTGCGCTGAGATTGTGATGACAGTAGGTTTGGGAGGAGGGTCTGAGCTTGAGGCCTACTTGAGCTAACAGCAGACCTTCAGAATTTGCAGTTATTTCCCAGAACTTGTGGGCAGATAATGACTCCTTTGTTTCAAACTGTGTAGTCACTGACTTGCGTTGCAAATGTGCCGGGTGGCTGCATGCTGAAAATCCTTGGTCTGAACATTTTTCCAACGTTTGTATAACGCTGCGCCAGGCAACTGTTGCCTCATTAGTTATGCACAGAGAATGTGAGGTGCAGAACGCTGCTGCCGCTGCACACATTTTCAGCAGAGAGGCTGGGTGATGACACTCACTGCGCAGCACAGGCTGTTGTCACTCCATCCGGGACTGTTGCCAGTTCCCAGTGAGTCAGAGGATGAGTGGCTACAAGGCCTGAATCCATTGTGTTAGTGGAGAATACAGGGGTTGTGACTTGGCACGGGGCTTGTAACTTTAATGGACTCGGTGAAAGCTGAAGCTTTCGCACTGATGTTTTTCCACATGAAGCAGTTTAACTCTCACATTTAATTGTTGTCTGTTTTTTTTTTTTAAAGAGTCATGCTTTTAATTTAAGCAGTGAAGTGTTCTGGTGTGTAAAACTGAGACCCAGTTGTTTGATGGGATTGATGGTGTTTGTCTTTCAGAGACCGCCGTTCATGCCTCCACCAATGAGCAACATGCTGCCGCCCCCCGGGATGATGTTCCCTCCGGGCATGCCCCCCGTACCGTCAGCCGGGACCCCAGCACTCCCCCCCACAGAGGAGATCTGGGTGGAGAACAAGACGCCAGAAGGAAAGGTACTGTGCTCAACTCCCACTATCTGTTTCTGTACACCTTCAAAAGAGGGCACTACATACCTCAGTAACTAGTTTCAGAACAACTTGGCCTGTTGATTGGAGAAGAGGGGCTGGTATTGCCTTGTGTCCAGAAATACAGCATTGCAAGCAATGCCACAGGGACAAGTATTGCTTAGCTCATTGGACCGTGGAATGGATTCTTAACTTTCAGGACACGGCTGTTTGTAAGTCTTCGGCAAGATCTTTTTATCTGCAGATGTCCTAGATTTATACAGCTGTTAACCAAATGCTTTCTCTAGACTTTGGCTGTGTCCCTGGGCCACAGATCTGAATTGCAGCAAGAGTTCAAAGGATAATTGTAGCACTCTGTTTAACAAAGAGGATTGGGCTGTTAACTGCAGATGCATGGAGCACAGAGAACTTCAGTAATGAGTCCTGGGGGATGCTGTCCCCAACACTGGACCAGTCCTTGGGCAGGCAGATTTATTTACAGTTTGTGCAAGTGATGTGACACAGGAAAGCTCAGAGGTGGATGTTTCAGATGAAGGCAGCTTTCATCAGTGATTCATAAACGTGACCCCCCCTCTTTCTATAACCCTCCCACCCAACCACCCCCAGGTATACTATTACAATGCCAGGACGCGGGAGTCCGCCTGGAACAAGCCCGAGGGGGTGAAGGTGATCCAGCAGTCAGAGCTGAGCCCCATGATGGTGACCCAGGCCTCGGCGGCAGCGTCCTCCACCACCACCAGCCTGCCCGTGGCGAGCACCGTGGCCATCTCCCCAGCCTCTACCCAGGCCCCCTCCCCAACCATGGCAACAAGCCCCGCCCCCAGCCCTGCCCCCAGCCCCGCCTCCACTCCTGCTGTCTCTCAGCCAATCTCCAGTGAGTATCCACATACTTTTTTCCCCTTGAGTGGCGCTGCTGTGAGACAGGACCACACACACAGCTCTGACTTCATAGGCCGAGAGCACACAATGTGCCATCTTTGCATCTCCTGAGTGAACTCAGTAGCTTGGTATGATTTACCTAACTGCTTGCTCTTGATGTAGTGGAGCAGTGGGTGTACATGCAAGATCTGCTTGAAGTCACATAGCCCAGGCACCATAAAAGGTGCATCTACACTTGGCTTTCAGAAGCATCAGTTGCACCAGAAGTCTTGTTTTTCAGTGAGAGCCCTTCATTAACATAGAGTGTTTGCAGTTTTGAGGTCAACCCCTGCTTCACTTTTAACACATTGAAAATGTGCCAATTTTTAGCCTTCCTTCTGTGCTCCAGGGCAACCAGAAAGACACACAAAATAATAATGAAAATTAACTCCAAGCTTTAAACTAGTTTAGGAGGGGGACGTAGCAGTAACGTAAAGACCGTCCACTTGAGCCTCCATAACACTGCACCTTTCTTTAGTGATAAACCTGGTGTGGGCGCACCTTAACAACCTCAGTTCACCTGCTGCAGTCAGTCTCACAGCCACAGAGCCTGTAGGGCTCCTGCTCACATTTTGGAGACACCTGTCAAAGCTGATACTCCTCAGACAGATCAACGAGCAGTACCGTCACCCGCTGGCTAAGCTGTGGAGTCTGAGGACAGAGGAGGTGGCAAATTAAACTGTCCGTGGTAGTTCATTGTTGGAGATGAGAGTGTGTTTCACTGTGTTATTGACAGTATTGTTGAGAGGCTTAAGGTTCCTTGCGAGGAGGACTGACAGGCTCATGTCGATGATGTCAGTGTTTTCTCCCTGTGGAATTCCTCTTTCCCCTTTGCGTTACTGCTCAGTGCTGATTGGCAGTTTGCTGAACAGTTTCAGCAGTCTGTTCAGCCCATTCCCAAAGGCTTAGTGTCAGTCTCTGTCCACAGCATTGGAGCTGATCATGCATCCTGTCCAGACACGTTCGTGAACCTTGTGTGAGGTGTTTACACACTGTGCAGACTGTTCTCCTGCAAGATGGCTCCCATTACTTTTGCTGTTCTGTGAAAATTAAAAAAACATGAAAAGCATTTTTATTCATACTTCAAACTTTCCCCCTCTTCACAGCCTCTGCTTCCCTTGAGATGCCCCCTCTCGTCAGCACGCCGTCCAGCATGGCGGTGGTCGCCCCGGTGACGGCGATGAGCGTCTCCACGGTGACGGCCACGGTGACGCCGGTGCAGACGATGCCGCAGCTGCTGCCCCACGCCGTTCCCCAGGCGACGGCCGCCATCCCCGCCTTCCCGCCCGTCATGGTGCCCCCGTTCCGAGTGCCTCTGCCCGGCATGCACATACCGCTGCCCGGTGGGTACCAGTCCCCTCGCCCCCCTCCTTTTCCCTCGCACCCCTCGCACCCCTCTCTCCCTTGTTCAGGATAAGGCCCAGTGGCATTACAGAGACGGACCAATTACGTTACATTATTGGCATTTAGCTGATGCTCTTCTCCAGAGCAACTCGCATACACTAGTTTTTTTTTTTTTTTAAACAATGTTATACATTTATACAGCTGGGTACTTACTGAGGCAATTATGGGTTAAGTACCTTGCCCAAGGATACAGCAGCCTTAGCCACTGTGCTACACTGCCGCCGTTTAGAGGCTGCCCTGTGCATTGTTATCTCAGTTAAGCCAGTGGGCCGGCTGTGTGGTGTAGTGGTGAGGCGCAGGGCTTGTAACCGAAAGGTTGCTGGTTCGATACCCCGTTAGGGCCGTACCCTTGGGCAAGCTACTTAACCCGCAGTCGCCTCAGTAAATACCCAGCTGTATAAATGGATAAGATTAACTTATGCGAGTTATTCTGGATAAGAGCATCTGCTAAATGACTAATATAATGTAATGTAAACCCACAGTTGTATCCCAGCACTCATGAGATTGGCTGAAGGAGGCAGCCCTGACATGCCTGCAGTTAACAAGGCTGTACCCCTCAGCCGTCTCTTCCTTCAGCTCTTTATTCATTAACTCCTTTATATGTCCATTCCCGTTTCGCTCAGTCCTCTGATGTTCTGAAAACAGTTCTGAGAACAGTGAGCCTTATTTTGTGCAGATGGCCTCTTTTCTGCTGTCAGTCCTTGCAAGCTGAGGTCTGTCCTGAGCTGACCTGAGGAGGGACAGTCAGGGGTCATTTAAGCTGTGAGAAAAGAGGTCTTTAATGGCTTAAAATAAGCGCTGTTGTAGTTGTGCGATGAGAAATGAAATGGGTCATATGTTTGCCTTATGCCCCTTATGTGGTTTATTTTGAGAGATCACAGTGTGGTCAGTGTCCTCTCTGTTCTGTTTTTAGAGTGACTATGATGTGTATGGGGGATTAATAGATGCATAAATGGTGCATAAGTATCAGCAGATAGAGCTGTAAATGAGTGGGTAATTTTTTGCAAGTTGGCAGAGCTTTTTTTTTTTTTTTGCAAATGTGTGTTTACAGACATAGAGTGTATATTGGTCAAAGCTATGAGTACGCTGAAGGTGTTTTTGTCATAGATATCTTTACAGGAGTAAAAAAACATTTGTCTACAATTCCTCTGTATATATCCTATATTCCTCTGTATATACATGTGTACATGTAAGGTTTGCACTTGGGTCTCAGTTCCTGTTTAGATTTTACTGTGACTAAGTTAATGCCTTTCTTGGAATGGAGGGAGTGAAGTGGCCAGTAGATGGCAGTGTTGTCCAATCTGTCTCTTCAGCACAGAAAGGATTCAAGCCCACCTCATGCTCTGTATGTTCATGATTTAAACATCAGGGAGAACATAAGAGGGGCTTGCTATGCTATCATCATTCACCTGGTCTTGATGACTAACTTTTTTGTTAGCTATAACCCTTTTATGCTTGTATGCAGTCGTATATAAAACACAAAGTTCAGTTTTATCTTTATTGAATCAGAGGGGGGGGGTCAGTGGGAACTTGCCTGTGTCTAATTAGACTGACTGGCATGAGGACTGGCACTGAAAGGTACTGGTAAGGCTGCCAGGTGAACAGAGCTGCCCAGCAGGTGGGTGTGACCTCTTCTGGAAGGTGACAAATCGCCCTCTGTCAAGCATCTGTTTGCCTGTCCATCTCTGCAGGAATAGCAGGGATACAGATAGCCAGCAGTCCCTGTATGAGCACAGTCAATACCAATAAGTGGGAAATCTGTACCAGTTACTGCTCTTTGTGAGTTCAAGATGAATGAATGAATCCTGTGTAATGCTGTGTAATGCCTATATATCCATTTTCAGACCAGTAGTGCTGCACTCAGGTATATTGTTTAACTGTTAGGTCCTCTGTTTTTTTATATTAAGTCAGTGATGTGTTTGTATCTGTAGCTGGCTTTGAGGCAGAGCCATTACATTTACTTGTCACCTGCAAGCCAGCTCAAAGAGCCTGTACCGTTTTCATACCTGATGCTACACTTTGACACCTACTTGGATGTTAATATAACACGTTGCACAAAGGCTTACCATAGAATGAACAGGGCTGGATTATGAGGGGGCTGGGGTGAGTTCATTGGTAAGTTTGTACATTTCTGATGGGAGATGCAGTCCTGGACTTGCTTTAAGTAGTTCTTGAACTATGGATTTCACCTTACGTCACCACCGCGGTCTGTGGAGCTCACCTGGTGACCTGTTTGGTTTTCTGTTAGAATCCCTTTCAGTAACATTAACACCTTATCGCTCATGGGCAGGATTTTTCCAGGATCACAAGTGTTTGCTAAACCACTTAAAAATTAATTATTACCATCTTATCACATTCGGACATTAGTGTTATTACTTAATTATAAATATTTTAAAAAAAACATTGTTAATACGGTTACATATATGAAAGTATTAGACAGGTCTAACCTGGGCTCCTGCCTGTTTGTTTGCTCCATCTCAGGAATGCTGCCAGCCATGGCCCCTCCCCTTGTTCCCATGATGCACCCGCAGCTGGCCATCGCCACGGCGCCCGCTGCGCTCGCCGGCGCTCTCCCTCTGCCAGAGTGGACTGAGTACAAGACCGCCGACGGAAAGACCTACTACTACAACAACCGCACACTGGAGTCCACCTGGGACAGACCCCTCGAGCTCAAGGAGAAAGGTATGTTTGGTTTAAGGATGTTTTTAAACTGTGTTCCACTTAATATTTTTTTTAATTTTTAACTTTTTTTTTTTTTTTTTTTTTTGCAAAAGTCAGGGAAAACTCATTTAAGGAGTTTTCATTCTTGGTTTGACGTGCTGAGGAATTCATATTAGTTTCTGGCACTTGCATACTTTTTAGCTGTAGTCGTACTATATTGAATTGTCAATCATCATTTCTCAATATCGGGATAACAGCTATATGTAAATGTTAGATTTAGTCATTTATGCAGCTGGATATTTACAGAATCAAATGAGGCTGTCTGCTTTGCTTTAGAGTGCAGTGTCAGTTTCACATCAGGGATTCAAACCTGCAACCTGTTGTGATGTATATAGCACCTTAAACACCATGGCACCTCATCCTTCCCTTTACTTACTTCTGAAAGCTCTCAAAGGTGCTGTGAAACGCCAGCTCCCACAATTCCAGACTCTAGCAGTAGACTGCAACCTTTATGGTCTCCATCAATTACGTCCTGATCTGTATTGCTACCACACACAGAGTGTAATCTGCCGTAGTCACTGGGAGGTTAGGAAGACAGAAAATCTATCCAGGAATAGAGGGCAATTTTGGTTCTAGTTTGACACTAAAGAGGAGGAATATTCCAGCCTTTGATGCTGAGGCAGTTATTTTATAATTAGGGTATGTGTAGGGGTTTTATACAAGGGTAAAAATACCAAGCTGAAATCCACTGCTTATGAGAGGAGGCCAATGAGAGGACTGAATCCAGACATTAAACTGTGCTTGTGATCCCTCATTCAGATAAGGATGCAGAGAAGGCCAAAGACAGGCCCTCAGTGGAGGACTTGAACCCCATGGACATGGAGGAGGAGCCCAAAGTGGAGCCACCAAAAGAGATTAAAGAGGTGGGTGACCAGGTGCTTCACCAGCATGGAGGAGTCAGTCTCACTCAGACACCTCCATCTGTGTGTGTGTGGTAGATGCCGTGAGATCTGCATCAAGGAAGGCCATGCAGAGTCACAGCATCCTGACTTGAAATCGGGAATAATGCATAAATCAGCTTAAAATGCATCATGGTACATTTTTAATTGCAATGAAGGTACTTGTTTTAACAAGTTAAGAGCCTTACAATACGATACGATATAAATAGATACTGAGCGTGTCTCAGTTCCTCCAGGCTGCCAGCTCTCACCTCTCTGCCTCTGTGTGTGTGTGTGTGTGTGTGTGTGTGTGTGTGTTTTGGTGGGGGGGGGGGTATTGCTAATATAATTACTGATAGTTCTTTATTGTTGTTGCAAACAGGTTTAACAGTTAAAATTTGTGATAAACAATGGCCATCACCAATATTTAAAACCAGTATATCAACATCCTGTATGTCAGTCTGAGTGTTTGATTTGGCTTTTGTTTTGCCCTTTGTGTCAGGAGCCCAAGGAGGAGGAGATGACAGAGGAGGAGAGAGCTGCACAGAAAGCCAAACCTGTGGCCACCAACCCCATCCCAGGAACACCCTGGTAGGGCCTGACTAAAAACTCATTAAATGACACACAGTGTCATAATACCTCACACCTTAGCTGTCACATTGTACATTCTCTTTAGTCTAATGTTTTCAGTGCTGCACGTTTTTGCATTTTAAACAAAGAAAAGACGAGGGTGGTCAAGTGGTCTGAATATGAAATGTAGCAGTCATTGCTGATACTGTAGGCTTTTCCAGCTGCCATTTCATTTCCAAAGTAGCCCAGTGTCTCAGAAAAACATTGAAAATTCCATTACATACATTTAGACATTTACATTCAACATCACATAATACATGTAATACATACACAAAATGTCTCTGAGTCTGATTCCTGTATAATGTGAAATGCATAAATTAAAGGTGATAAATCATTTCAGTGTGTCTGTGTGTCTACGTGTTTGTGCACTTGTTTGTGCATATGCGTGTACGTGTGCGCTCGTGCAGGTGTGTGGTCTGGACCGGTGACGACCGCGTCTTCTTCTACAACCCAACCACGCGGTTGTCCATGTGGGACCGGCCCGAGGAGCTGGTGGGCCGGGCCGACGTGGACAAGAGCATCCAGGAACCCCCCCACAAAAAGGGCCTGGAGGACAGCCGAAAGCTAGGTGAGACAATCCTCCACGTCCAGGCATATTTGAATCCCCCTCCCTCCTGGGCCCCTGGTAACCTCTGTCCCCTAAACCTCAATGCAGGGATCAGTAAGGAGGAGCTGGAAGCTGCTTCTGGAGAAGTTTTGGAAGAGGAGCCTGTTAAGGCCAAGAAGAGGAAGTGAGTACCCACAATTCCCCTCACCCAGGGGCATTAGCAAAGCCTAGCATTCACAGAAGGCCTGGCTTCCCCCCCCCCCATTTGTGTAAATGCAAAGCATGTTTAGAATTTCCTATCAGTTTGTGTTGGATAGTTTGAAAATGATAGCTGCAAAGTCATCATAAAAAATGAATACTAATAGTGTTTAATTCTAAAATCTAAAAGTGTGAATTGAGACTGTTAGTGTGTTGCGTACAACATTGATTCCTTCAGAAATGATGCCAAAAATCAGTCAGACGTCTGACTGGACCTTTGTGAAATTAATACATTTCTAATGTCGAGTTGCTCCGGATGTGAGTGCCTTAACTTTCCCACTGCGGGAGTTATGAGTCCTCACTGTTCAGG